TAGGGGTTTGGAGGTTTAGGTTTAGGTTTAGGGTTTAGGGGTTTAGGGCTTGAGGGGTTCAGGGTTTAGGGGTTTGGGGTTTAGGGTTTAGGGGTTTAGGGGTTGAGGGGTTTAGGGTTTAGGGGTTTGGGGGTTTAGGGTTTGGGTTTAGTTTAAGGTTTACGGGTTTGGGCGTTTAGGGGTTTAGGGTTTAGGGTCGGTTAAGGTTTAGGGATTTAGGGTTTAGGCCCTAAGGGTCCATGTACCCAAATAGGAGATACTTCGGCCGCAAGGTACCCAAATAGGACTACTTTAAGGCCAAAGTATATACTATTTAGGCCCATGGGGCCTTAGGGCTAACAACCCTAAGCCCTAAGCCCTGAAGCCTAGGGGTCCATGTACCCAAATAGATATACTTTGGCCTTAAAGTAGTGCCTATATAAGTACTTTGGGGCCAATGTATATACTATTTGGGTACATGGACCCTCAGGGGAAGCCTACACTCTGAAGCCCCAGTTTTGAGCGGTTTAGGGTTTAGGGTTTAGGGTACCTGATCCGGTTGAAGCTGTAAGGCTTCAAGCTTAAGCCGCACGCCCGAAATCCTGAACCCCCACACACGTCAGGGTTTAGGGTTTAGGGGTGTAGGGTTTACCGAAAATCTAGTTGTGTCTGGCGTAACATGTGTACGTTTAAGAAATGGCAAACCGAAGATGATCGGTGTATGCCCCTTGTTTAACATGCCCCTGGGAACTCTAATAGGTAGACCGGTAACGCTTCCGATCCTGTATCAGCCTTGCAGTGAGCCTAAGTACCTTCAACGCTAAACCCTCATAGAGAGACTGACCCCTCGAAGCCCTCTTATACGCAACAAAGTGGACATTTAAATGCCCTGCGCCCTAAACCTTAACTCTATGAGCCCTAAACCCTAAACCTTATTCCCAACAACAGACCTCAGTGTCGTGACCCTCAAGCACAAGCCCTTACTAAAGCTTACTCCCAAACCCTAATCCCTAAACCCCGAAACCCCTAAACCCTAAACGTGACCAGGCCGAGCAGCCTCGTAGCCTGCGTGAGGAAGAGCCTCTGATTGCAGCAGCAGATGCCTCCAGCAGGGCGGCAGTTGTTTTTGTTTTGGTTTCCAGATGTCGGTTCCTTTTTGGGGTTTATGGATTAGGGTTTAGGGTTTATACAAAACAAAGCCTGCAAAACCCTACGGATGATGGACACAATCCTGCATGACTTGAAGTACTCGAAACTATCTGATTTGAGGTGTCTTCATTATCCTGGGTAATGCGGCATTCGGAGAATCAGCCGTACTTGGAGGATCATGGGATTTAGTAAGTAAGGTTATAAGGCATTGGGGTTATTGGAAATTACAAGTACAGTTACCTTATTTATCACCCTAGTTACTAAGTCCCATGATCCTTTAAGTAGTTTGGGACCCTTGATCCCCTAAACCCTAAACTCAAAACCCTAATATACCTTAAGAACCCAAAACCAACTTTTTTGTAGGGTCCCTATAAATCCCCATATTAGGGTTTATAATAAGAACCTACAAAAAAGTGGGTTTTGGGTTCTTAAGGTAGGGGCCTATGATCCTCATACTTAACCCTAAACCCTAAACCCTAATATAGGAGCCTTTGATCCTTTAAGTACGAGGCCTTCTTTGCTTTCGACATGGAGACCGCGGCAGCTGCACTGAGCCGGCATGGTTTCTGCGTGTGCGCTGGGAGGGATGCGAAGCCC